TTGTGTGAAATTCGACGATCGGGGGAAGGGAGTTTTCGAGTCCATCAGTACTATTTCTTGCCGTTTCGTAGCGTTTTTAGCTACGTTGTTACCAACGTTATAGATCATTCGACGTAAAATTCGAGAGATCTTAAAATTTTACGTTTTACTGAATACGATAGGCCCTTTTCGGAATTTATTTGAAAGTCACTGTCAGGGAGACAAAGAAAAGAAAATTAACTCATGCTAAACCTAAGCTCTCTGGTATATCTTTAGAGTCATTTTTGTGTTCTTGATCTAACATTAATACCTAAATAGACCAAGTCGAATATTTTCACAGCAAAAATTCTACAGAATTTTGACAATTGCCTGATATTCACGTATCTCGTAAAGGAGGAATCAATTGGAAATTAAATCTTCGTAGATCGTGGACGAGATTTTCCCTCGTTTCCCGATTTCCGGGGCGTTTGAATTCGCCGCGCGACGTCGTCCAGATCGAAACTAGCTGCCCCGGGTAATGTAAATAAATAAATTCACCGTGAATCGCGTAAAGTTACCCCGATCACGACGCCGCAAGACTCATAAAGTCCGCTCGGTCATGAAAACGAAATACGTCTTGTTCCAGGTGCATTCGTACGGTGCAATATGCATGCGTCGCGACTCGCGTGAACGGTTTATTCCGAGCTTTCTTACGAGCGTTGTTTCTACTTTCCCCCGGGGTTCCCGCGCGGGTGAAACGGAAGCTACTTACCCCCGACGTTATTTCTTTCCGCGGAGACAGACGTGGAATTCCAACGCGGTAATATTAACGACGAAAAGATTTATGCGCTCGGCTAGGCGATGCTTCTTCATTTGCGCGTATCACTCGTCGTCCCGGTTATTCCAGAGTTGAACTAGTATTATTTATTTAGAGCCGGTGGTAGGAACCGGAAACTGTTATAATTAGGGTTTGAACAACTTGTTGAACGTTTCAGCGAATTCTATTTGAATGTTAATCGAATACTATTCAGCGAATGCATATACGAGTTTGTGGATACTAAAATAGACATTGATTGCACTTATCGAAACATGTCACGGTTACGTTAAAATGTGATTTTTCTTTCACTTAAAATGTATATTTATATAATTACGCTCATCGAATTTAATGTAAATTGCTAACAAATAATATTTACGAGCTTTGTTTTCGTAAGAAACAATTCTTACAGTGTGCTAGATTGGTTCGTAGATACATTGACGAAATTAAAATACTTCAAATCATTCTAAAAAATTATTTTTAGTTGCGGGGGTCAATTACAATAATTTTTGGTGAACAGGCATACCCACGAAATCCTACTCAATTTTGGGTACAAAATTCGAGAAGGTATGAAATTGTTGACAAAATTAAGAAATTTCAAATCGTTGTAAAAAAATTTTTTTTTGTTGCGGGGGTCAATTACAATCATTTTTGGCGAAGAGACATACTCCCCAAATCCTATCCGCTTTCGAGAAAAAAATTCATTATCGAAAATATAATGTGTGATCATAAATAAATGCTCTACTGAAATTTCATGCGTATGCTTAAAATGTTGTAACTTCCGAATGGATTGAAGGATTTTAATGTTTCAAAATGCAAACAACGCGTACTGTTCATCGAGTTTGCAGCGACTTTGCGGCCGTTGGTACCGCGGTTTCCGTGTGAGCCGTGGCGTTTGGCTTTGGAGTTTCTGGCCAGAGATTTCGCGATCCGTGATGGGCGAAAGTTAGTGGATAGTCTTTACGTCTCTGGGTGTCTCATTAATGCGAGTTGTGACTACCGGCAAGCCACAAGTGTTTGAGTTCTCCTCGTTCGAAATGGCTTTACGAGGAGGTCCGTAATGCTGTGTCCCTATCCGTGGTCTTCCGCGACCACTTCGCTTCCGTAAGCCTTCATTTATCTCCTCGTTCGGTCGAACGGTGTCCTTAAACTTTCCCATCTTTCTGGGAAAATCGATGCGCGCTTAGTCTCCGTCTCTTCTGTTCGACCTATCAAAAATTTTGTCCGTCACCATCGTCGTTTCTATACCCTCCCCCTTCAAGGATTCCTAAAACATGAGAAATTATTATTAGAATCTTCACAGAGTCGTACAATTGTGGATTAAATATTTTTAATAGCGCGTCTAAACCGAATTTATTTTTCTTAAAGTAAATCACGAAACGGAACTAGTCGAAGTCATCTAGTAACACATTTTTGGCACAGTAAACCGTATTTTTTATTTTCTTTGTCAAGATATTAATTCAGTATAAATCGTATTCGACGTGAATACGAAATCTAGCGCCGATATCGAATTTTCTAGTAGCAAAGTCGCCCATTTTTCGAACACTGTCATGCTCTTTTAATATCCCTGTCGAAACGCGGCTAGCCGACCCTCGTTCCGGCACTTCGTAACTTTGCGTTTAGATAAAGAAGTTATACTTGTTCGTTGAATGCCTGAGACCCTTGTTGAGCCACCCTCGAGCTGCCACGCGGAAAAATAGAGGGATGATCGAAACGCAGGGGTTGGCTCGTACTTTCGACGTCTCGAGGCACGGTTCTCTGCGAAAATCGTCGGAGACCACAGAGCAACCAACAAGTTGCCAGCGCCGAATCGATAGAGTCAAGCGAGTCGAGGGATGACTCATCTAACCTGGCTACCCCATCCTTTTTTCACCATTTTTTTCCTTCCTTTTTCTTAACCCTTTTCTCTCCGTTCTTCGCGTCGCGGAGACAGCTTCTCGATCTCCCAGGCTCTCGCGTTTCTCGTGCTTCGTTTTTTCTTCGTTTTCTTTTGTCCCTACTCAGCGACGACCCTCCACTTTGTTCCACCCTCGTCGGTCTTCTTCGCTTTCTCTTTGTAATGGCTTCCGCTCCCCTCGACTTCTGTCCTCCCCCGCCACTTCTGCGCGTCGGGGACGGATCCTGGAAGAATCTCGAATGTCCTCGGGGAACGGGCGGTAATTGAGTTCTTTTGCATTGAGCACGTCGCCTCTCCTGCGGTAAATTCGAACACCCCCGAGCTGGACGACGCGACTTATTAAGCATTTCGAAAATAAAATATTGCCCGGAACGCTAAAATCGCTGGGAAACTCTCAAAAAATAGAGAAAGCTATACTAAATAAACAACGGACTTTGTAAGCTTCGAGAAAGAGAAACTATCGATACCATAATTTTTTAACTACTTGTTGGAACTAAAGTATTTTCCCAACACGCACGAGTACTGATATCTGCGACTTTTTGAGTGTCAACTTGTGGGTGATGAATGTTTATTCAGGAGCGCGTGAACGAATTCGTTAATATCTTTATTATGTTGTCGCGTGCATGGCCAGCCATTGTGTCGGACAAATTCATATTTCATCCAGGTTGACGTGGTCGGCATCTGGAAGGCGAGGATATACGGATTTTCGGGGAAAATATTTACAATGTAAATAGCCTGACAGGTTGTCGGTATCAGTTCGACAGGAAATCCTTTGTATCGTACGGGTGCGCGTTTAGGGGCGGCAGCCCTCGGCGGTTTCGCTGGAATCTAAAAGGCGGCTTCACCCCAGGCGAGGTTTTTGCATATCGGGCACCTTGTACATGCGTAAACGCTGAAAAGGGAGAACTTGGAGGTGTAAACCGACCTGACTATGGAAAAAATCGTCTCTTTTCTCGGTCACGAGGGTGATTTATTGGCCACCCGAGTCGATGCTAATTCTATTCCGCGTCTTACACCTACCTACTAAACTGTCGAGGCCGTTTCACTCTATCGACGTGTTTTTATGAAACTTGGCAACCAATTTTTACGAAACCAATTTTTACAGAGAAATATTAGGCTCGCGTATTTTCTATGATGACAAAGGTATCTCTGTGGTGTCTTGACCATAAAATATAATAATATAACTTACGTCTCTGTTTTATTTTACCAGTGGTATTTTAAGAGATGTATTAACCTAGATATTAGTTTTAGTATTTCAAAAAAGCTTCCAGAGTGTCCATGTGCCAGTTATTTAAAATCTCTTTTGGTATTTAAAGCCGTTCAAAATGTCAAATTTCTACGTATCCGCGGAGCGCCAGTTTCTACGCATGCGCTAGTCGCGAGGCCCTGCGCGTAGACTCGAACCTTCCCCCACTCGTCAGTGCCCCACGCGCCTGCTGACACGATGGGTCCTTCTCGTTCTGTTCCAGGCAACATCGGTTATATTTATCAATTTAGAGTTGCTCTGAGTAACCTAAGTGAAGAAGCACATTTCTCTCGACACAGCAGATAGTATTATTCAAAAATTAAGGTACCTCATATATACATATATTCGTATGAAACTTTTTACATAATTGAATATATGTATAAATTCACCCTGTGCAACCACGTACTTTTAGAATATGTTTACAGGGATATGTTTGTTGTTAAAAGATTCGTAACCACCGAATTTATACTATACTATTTTCGTTGGCCTTATGATTTCTAAAATATTATTGCTATTTCCCCGCCCCTATTTTGGTAACAGTTCTCACTCCTTTGGCGTCGAATATTTTCGAAGATCTTGCTAAGCTTCGGGTGGTTCCCACGTTAGATAAATTGAGGATCTCTAATGCGAATGTTGCACGGTTGAACGATACCGTATAGTCCGCAAGACTCTGCATGAATTCGAGCGCCGAGTATTGCGTGTTCAACAGTGCGCTATCGCTGTATAAAATTGACCCATTTGCGAGGCGAACTCAACGTATTCGCAGTTGTTAGATACCGAGGAAACGACTCCGGTTCCCAGAAACTTCGAGACGACGCCCCAACTTCGCGCCACGTGCCAAAATGAGGATTCACACATTTGAAACAAATTAACGATAAGTTTGTTTGGTCCTTCAAGCTGCTGATTTTATCATTACCGCCACTCGAGCAAGACAGGTCAAGGAATTAACTATTACGATGTTGTATGAAATATTAATAAATATACCTCAGTTTTTTCCTCTAAACGTAGGCAATGGGGAAACTTGAAATGCTCTATTTTCTATTCAAAATGTTCTGACCTACATGTCGTATTTCTTTCTGTTCCAGGAACCTACTTTATCTTGTACGACTTCATCGACTTCTTCGAGAAAGATCAAGCGAGCTTCCTGGAGCGCAAAAAGTTTCTGAATATCATCGACACCATCTTCAAGAACTCGACTCAGATCGAGAGGGAGGCCATCACCTTCCAGGCAAGTCAATGTTCGACAGGAAGCAACAAATTTCTTATCAGATTTAATTCGAACTCTTAAGAGAACATATTAAATCATAATTTTGCTGAAATTGATGGAAATTCACAACTATACGATTTCTGCGAATCTAGCACAATTGTAACACACGATAGTCCTGAATCAACTTCCTGTTTGTATTGTTGGGATTCTGTTAAAAAAAATTCCAGATAATTGACCTTGACCTAAAAAATAATCGAGGTCTGGGTTAGGTTCTCATCGAACGTTTTCGATCATTTCACAGAGTATAAGAAAATTATACGTTCATTATAGGATTCTGCACCCTTGAATCGCTGAAAAAATTCGAACTGCCATGTAATTGACCTTGACCTAAAAAAGTGAGGTCAAATTTTAGTTTCAATCGCATCCTGTCCCCCTCGTAGCAAGGAAACGAAAGTCTCTTTTTGGCAAACGATGTTAAATAATTCTTCTCCTAATTAGATTACAAGCTTTCTCGCGTTTCCTGATAATTTTAATTAGGAAACACGAAAAATTCTCACGTTTCCTTTTCAAGACACTTTAACAAAATCTCTCGGATACTTCTTATCTTCCTACGAAGAGTTTGATATACAAATTCCTTTAGTTTCTTATTATTAATGTTTCGTTCGACTTAAAGAAGTTCCTATTAGAAATATGCGCAGCATATTTTAAAGTTTCAGTCACGAATTCGTCGAATTTCCCCGCTGTGCGTCGGAAGAATTGTCAGAACGCGTCTTCGTTGAATTTCCCGTGTACGTTAACCTTAAGTGCCACAGTTTGTCACATCGGCCTTAGAAACGAGCCCCGACAGTCGATATTCCGCTCACGTTGCACCGAGACACATCCACGGCGGGTGAGGGGTGTAAGACTCATGCTGCAATAGTAATGGACCGCGGAAGTTAGAACGCCTCGTACTTTGTAGCGTTTCACGAGAACCAGTGGTAATGGAAGACAAGAGTCAGACGCGGAACTTAAATATTCCAGCCGCGTTGTTATACCTGGGGATTTTCCTGGTATCGGACTTTATTGCGTGTCGCGCGAAGCATCGAATATCTGGCGATCGAGATTGATCGATACAGGAACAGGGGAGGCCAATTAAATTAACAGAGACGAACGTTTGTGTCGACATAATAATCGATCGACAATATTTTCGTAAATCAATTGCAAACGAATACGATAGAATACCTTCGCGCGTCTCTTGAATATCATTTTAATGATGAACAATAGGTGCTCGAACGGAACAATGTATTAACAAACGCGTGTTAATTTCGTCGTTTATGCGTGTAATTAAAATTTGATTTCTTCCGTATTGGGAAAGTATTAATGCTTTAACTGTTGTTAATATCGACTCGTACGAATGGCAATAGATTGGAAATACTCTGTTCTTTAAACTGGTGGTTTAATTTTTCAGGACCTAAACGATTAAATAATATACGAAGCGTATTAAAGAAAAGCTTGAACTTTGACGATCTCACTTTAGTTCGTAGATGAGACGTGATAAGTTCTTAACGACGAGATTTTTCGTTCGCGTGGAGGTAAATCCATTGGCGCGGGACTAGGGTTGCATTGGCGGAGGACGATGGAGATCGGTGGGATTCGAGGAGTAAATATGCCGGGGCATTTTGGGGATCGAAATACAAACGAGGCAATTTCGATGTTGAAGTTCGGATAAAAGTTATCCCCCGTGCCCCTATCTCCGCGTTAATATTACAGGGAGAATGGCGGGCTCCGAAGGCCGGGGAACACGTCAGAGTTTGCTGGAAAACTTCTGTACAACACTATTGGCCCACCGTACGGCGTATACACGAGCCGTTTCCTCGGTCGAACGATGTTTCAAAGTGGTACTCTTCGTTTTCATGAAATTTCGCGCGGGAACTCTTCGACCCCGTCGTTGGGAAAAATTGAACGATTTTTCCTTTTTTTTTTGGAATTGAAAAAGCCCTACAAGAACAGTTTTAGCATTGGAAGAATGATCCTGAAAAAGGAAAAAATCTGCACGCTACTCTCGAATATTAATTCGCCACCCTTTCCGTTCGATGAATACTGGTCGAATCGTTATCTTTTGTAGAATAGATCCATTACCGTGATCGAAATATGGGCTGCTTTCTTCTTTGGGTTTTTAAAAATTGTTGTTTAACATCGACCACTAGAATGAGGGACTATCGATTACTTATTACGGTTTAATAATTTGAAACTAATATTTTAGAGTTACTCTAAATTTTCCTTTGTAGAGGAATTATTATTAAAATGCATAGGAAAATCATTTATCGCAAGAAGGGATAAATAATTCACAGTGGCTCTGGTGTTTTTAAATATCAAAGTGATATGAATTCCTACCTCGAAATAAAACGCGTGTTTACTCGAGCCAGAAATAAATAAGTGTAGAAAGTTTGGGAAAAATTGTTGCTGGTAGTATTCGAGGGATGAAATTCGTAAAGAATCGCCCTCTTTCGGTGCTCCCTTTTAGGAGCCACCCTTAACGGGAAAAGAAGAAGCTTTCCATTGAAGTCGATTCACACGGAGCATAAAGGTTGCAGAGTTGAGGGTCCCAGGGTCGAGGGTTGTGGATTTAGGGTGGAAGGTCAACCGGATGTATCTCCGCCCCTCGAAACAAACAGTGGTCTTGTCCAAGCAAAAGGGAAATATTTAGAAATAGGAAGAGGAGCGCGTTAGTCGGTAATCGATATCTTTGTGTACACTGTTAATATCGCCACTCAAAGACGTCCACGTTCTACGGGGTGGCCGCTAATTACTTTCCCATCGATGTCGCGACGCGTATAATATATACTCTGTCAAGGATCAGCCCAGCGTGAAACCACCACAGAGCGTCAATTTAATTAAGGGAGGTCTCGTTTGGAGAAAAGCCATTCCATGAATTGATTTCGTTCAGTTTTTTGTAACTCTATATACACTATTTTCCCAGTCTTCGTTTCTTTACAATAAAACAGCAAAGGTTAGTTTAACAAAATTTATTTTATTATCTTTACGCGAAACACGAGCGAACACTTGGAAATTTTACACGCTTGTTAATTCTATTTTTGTATTTTTACGTTTTGTTCGTCACATAGAATACTTTTGGTTCGTTTGTACCGAATGAAACTCAAATTAACGATCGAAACTCGTATAAAGAGCGTTCCAAAATTCTACATGAAAAAACACACACACATCGAAAACGAAGAATAAAACGTTTTACATTCGAGATTTCATTTTTGAGGGAATCAACGTACATGTAGAAACAGCGATTAACGGTGAAAATAGTATTTAATACCACGTTTTCCACCCCCACAAATATTCGAAATCGATTTATTTCGAAAACAAAGAAACTAATGAAAATTTTTTGTTCTACGTTCGCAAATTTGTTTTTTCGAGTAGAATCATCTGTAGAGGTACGGGATAACCTGTATATAATAAAGTATGCTTAAAATCGTAGTTGAAATCGGGTGAAATTGTTCGGTTACCGAAATCACTCGTCGAGGAATGTTCGATTTTTGTACGATGCTTTCGCGTTCCATAAATACTGCTTCGCCTCCATTGTAGTCAAGAATTTCCCTCTTCCTTTGAATCAATATCTCGCCCCTGTTTCCAGCTCCTTTGTGACTTACTTTTCCCCGCAGTCGGATCCGTCGGAACGTGGCCGATCATGCATATGCAAATATTTGTCTTCGCGCGTTCCATAAATACGAAATCCGCAGAAACGACGTTTCCGATGTCGCCGGGAAAACCGCATGCAGTCGGCGTAAATATGTATGCACGCTTGTTTCCAGCAACCCCCTCAACCCTTTCGAGAACAACAAAGGAACCAGCCATGAATATTCGGCCGTTAATTTCGGCCCTGGGAACTTTAACATCTTTTATCTCGATAACCAAACCTCGTTCGATTCTTCATTTCATAATTTCTCGTGCAATAGAAAAGAGAAAACGGAATTATAAAAATGATATAATATTTAAAACCGGAGTGTTCCGTGTCACTGCTTTAGGGTAGAAACTTTTGGCAAGACTAATTTTATAAATAATGTAGTTTGAAAGGAAAATTCTGTTAATAGAGATTTTAGTGGAAGTAACTGGAAGTAGAAAATTTTGAACACTGTTTACAATTTCGAAGTATAGCGCTTCTTTTAATAAATTACAACCCTCGAGTTTACTAACTAGGTATTAGCTTTCAGCTTCGTAATAATTTTCTTAGCTTCTAAACTACACTGTAAAGTAGATGCTTGATTCGCAAAATATTTAAAACATTCTCAGAGTGCATAATTATTATATAAGTTTTACTTTTGTACGAACTCGATTATTGCAACCAAACTTTTGCCCTATTTACGATTTAAAAGAGGTTCCTTTTCCGTTAGGTGAATTTATTCTTTTTATATCGACGAACACGATGAAAAAAAAAAGAAACAGTCGTTTCGAGGGTCGAAGTATTAATCCTGAGAAAGGGTAGTTTCGCGCGACCCCGTATCCGCGATTTCTTTTCCGAGGAATATCGAGGAGCGTGTTTCGAGGATACGCTGGAAATATTCCGGAAGCGTCACGGTTTCCGCATTCCGTGGCACTCGGAATAAAAAGCTGCGACGATACGCGATCTTTTCAACCCCCCAGAACCACCCTGACCGCCTCTCTAAGTCTCGTTACTTGGTGACATTTGCAGAAAATGTTCTCTCGGGGTCTTGTTCAAAATTAAACACCGTGGTTCCGAGCCAATGACTTCGCGAAAATAAACGAACGAACTCACAGTAAACATCCCTTATTTCACGAAACTTTACGGAGAAACTTTACAAAGTGGTACTCGACCGCGAAAACAACTCCAAACGTTGATTCACGGAACAGCTAAATTTACTAGTTTATTATTTTATTTTAGAATATACACTCATGATTTATTATAAAATTCATAAAATTTTTTACAGAAGAGAAGAAGAGAAATTTGGCGTCCGCGTTCATGAAAATTTTAGAACCGGGAGAGTAAATATACGTGTACGAATTTTAAAAGGAAA